ATTTACTTTACTAGTAACTGAAACATCTGTTAAAAAGAAAGATTTAAACAGATGTAGTTTTTATTCATAACAGAAGTAATACAAATTATTAAACTACAGTAAATGATTTTTAGTCCATATTAATCCTAACATATAATTTTAATTATCTTCTTGGATAATTTACTGCTCATCATTATGAAATCCCACAAAGACAAGATAGCACTTTAAATCTTTCAGCATATTTAAATAGCAGATATCCATGGTAACAGAGTACCCATACTCCAATTTCACAAGTCAGAAAACACATACTAAGGCAGGTCTGATGTTTGTTCCAACATCATAGTCACTCGTGTACATTAATGGTGAGCGGCTGGGGATGGTTTTCTACTCTACTCATAAAATGAGTGAAGAAGCCAGCAATTAAAATTTTAAAATGCCTGCCACCTTGTAACATTATGGATAACTCTAAATAAATCATATAAAATAAGCAGAAAAAATATTTCTTAGAATTACCAGGACTCCATCTGATTATGCTTTACTAAGAATCCTTATAGTCTGATTTTAAATACAAAGTATGCACACACACACAGAGAGAGAGAGAGAGAGAGAGAGAGACAGAGAGACAGAGACACAGACAGAGGGAGAGACAGACAGACACTGGCTGATCATGGTGGCTCACGCCTGTATTCCCACTACTTTGAGAGGCCGAAGTAGAAGGATCGCTTCAGCTCAGGAATTCAAGACCAGCCTGGGCACCAAAGTGAGACCCCCGTCTCTACAAAAAATAAAGTATTAGCCGGTTGTGGTGGTTCCCACCTGTGGTCCCAACTACTTAGAAGGCTAAGGCAGGAGGATTGCTTGAGCCCAGGAGGTCAAGGCTGCATTGAGCCATTTTTGCACCACTGCACTCCAGCCTGGGTGACAGAGTGAGGTCTTATCTCAAACAAAAAGAGACACTGAAAAATTCATTATGAATATCATGAAAAAGTTTATAAGATCTTAAATGAGAAAATCTTATTAAAATTTTTTAACCAGAAGAGGAAATACTTCCTACCTCATGAGGCCAGTATTACCTGGACACCAAAGCTAGACAAAGACACAACCAAGAAAGAAAACTGCAGACCAATATCCCTTAGAAATATAGATGCAAAATCTTTAACAAAATACTAAAAAACCACATCCAGAAGCAGACTGAACTTCTCCCCTAAGATTAGGAAAAAGACAAGGATGCTTACTTTCACCACTTCTATTCAACAGTGTACTGGAGATCTAGTTAGGGCAATTAAGCAAGAATTAAAAGGCATCCATTATTAGAAAAAAAGAGGGAAAACTATCTCTATTCACAGATGACATGATTATATAGAAAATGATAAATAATTCACACAGAGGAATATTTTTTAACAAATGATTTCAGCAAAGTTGTCATGATACAAAATCAATATGCAAACAGCAATCGTATTTCTATACATACACTAGCAATTAACAATATGAAAATAAAATTAAGAAAACAATACCGGCCAGGCATGGTGGCTCACGCCTGTAATACCAGAACTTTGGGAGGCTGAGGCGGGCAGATCACCTGAGGTCTGGAGTTCGAGACCAGCCTGGTCAACACAACATGGCAAAACCCCGTCTACACTAAAAATACAAAAATTAGCCATGCATGGTGGCGCATGCCTGTAATCTCAGCTACTAGGGGTTGCTGAGGCAGGAGGAATGCTTGAATCTGTTAGGCAAAAGTTGCAGTGGGCCGAGATCACGCCACTGCACTCCTGCCTGGGCAACAGAGTAAGACTCCATCTCAAAAAAAAACACCACTTACAACAGCATCAAAAAGAATACAATATTTAGGAATAAATTTAACCAAGAGAGTGAAAGACTTGAAGACTGAAAACTACAAAACATCTTTGAAATAAGGAAGCCCTAAATAAATAAGATATTCCATCCCATATTAATGAGTTGGAATATTTAACATTATTAACATGGCAATACTCCCCAAAGCAATCTACAGATTCAATGTGATCACCATCAAAATTCCAACTAACCTTTTTGCAAAATGGGCAACCTGATCCTAAAACTCATATGGAATTGCAAGGACTCCAAATAGCTCTGTTGCCCAGGCTAGAGTGCAATGGTATGATCCTGGCTCACTGTAACCTTCACCTTCAGGGCTCAGGCAATCCTCCAACCTCAGTCTCCTGAGTAGCTGAGACCACAGGTGCATGCCACCATGCCTGGCAAATTTTTGCATTTTTTATAGGCATGGAGTGTTGCCATGTTGCCCAGGCTCATTTCGAACTCCTGGGCTCAAGCTATCCATCCACCTCAGCTTATCAAAGTGCTGGGGTTACAGATATGAGCCTAAACAATCTTTATAAAGAACAACAAATTTGGGAGAACTAACACATCTTGATTTCAAAATTTACTGAAAAGCTATGGAGTAGAACTGAGAGTCCAAAAATAAACCCACACATCTATGATTAATTCATTTTTGAAAGGGTGCCAAGATGATTCAATGAAGAAAGAATAATCTTTTCAACAAATAGTGCTGGGACAACTGGATACCCACATGCAAAAGAATAAATTTGGGAGCCAGATGCAGTGGTACATGCCTGCAGTCCCAGATACTCAGGAGGCTGAGGTGGGAGAATTGCTCGAAACCAGGAATTCGAGACCAGCATGGACAATACAGCGAGACTCTGTTCTTAAAAAAAGAAAGATTGAGTCTGGACTCCTATCTTACACAATATACAAAAAGTAACTCAAAATGGATTAAAGACCTACATGTAAGAACTAAAACTCTAAAAGTCCGGGAAGGAAACAGGTGAAAACCTTCCTCATCTTGGATTAGGTAATGGTTTTTAAAATACAACATCGTAAGTACAGCCAAAAAAAAAAAAGATAAATTAGACTTCATCAAAATTAAAAACTTTGGTGTCAAAGGACACTATCAAATGAACAAATGCTATCAAGTGAAAAGACAACCCACGGAATGGAAATACATTTTTTCAAATCATATATCTGATAAGGGTCTAATAGCCAGAATATAGAAAGAACACTCACAGCGCAACCATAAAAAGTAAAATAACACAATTTTAAAAGGGGCAAAGTATTTGAATAGATATTTCTCCAAAGAGGACATACAAATAGCCAATAAACACATGAAATGGTGATCAAAACCATAATGAAATACCAATTTATACCCAGTAGGATGGCTATAAACAAAAAGACAATGCCAACTGTGGACAAGAATGTGATGAAATGGGAAAATTCATAAATTGCTGGTGGAAAAGTAAAATGGTATAGTCACTCTGGAAAACATGTTGGCAGTTCCTCAAAAAGTTAAATATCAAGTTATCATATAATCCAGCGATTGCACTCCTAGCGGTATATATCCAAGAGAATTAAAAATATAAATCCACATAGAAACTTGTATCTGAATGTTCACAGCAGTATTATTTGTAACAGCCAAAAAGTAGAAACAACCCAAAAGTTCATCAGCTAATGAACAGATGAATAAAATGGTACGGTACATCCATACAGTGGAATATTAGCCATAGAAAGGAATGAAGTACTGTTATATGGTACAACATGGATGAACCTTGAAAACATTATGCCAAGTGAAAGAAGCCAGATACAAAAGGCCACATATTAGTCCATTTATAAGAAATATTCACAAAAGTAAATCCATAGAGAAATTAGATTAGCAGCTGCCAGGTGATAAGGGGGAGGGGAGAATTGGGACTATGTGCTAATGGGTATAGGATTTCTTTTGGAGGTGAGAGAAATGTCCTGGAATTAGATAGCAGTGACGGCTGCACAATACTGTGAGTATATTTATAACTACTGAATTATACATTTCAAAGTGATGAAAATGGTGAATTTCATCTCAAATTTTTAAAAAGTTTTAGGAATTTTATAAATTTTTAATCCAAATAATATGAAAAACAAAAATGGAAGGGTTGTGAATTACTTACTTTCTTTAAAAAATCTCATATATTCAGTGTAGCATCGTTTATAACAACAACAAACTGAAAAGAACCTAAATAGCCATTATTAGAAAATGGATTAAGTACATTATGATCTAGTTATGGAAAAGAATGAGATGTGTTAGTTAAAAAAAGGATAGGGCCAAACAGTGGATGAAGTAAGATTCCATGTGTGTTTTTAACAGTGTACAAACACACTTGTATCTGCATAAGCTCCTAACAGTTGTAACCACAGTAGAGCGGGACTTGGAGACTTTTTTTAATTTGATGTCATTCTGTATTATTTGAAAGTTGTTTGAAATTATAATACTCAATTCCACTTTTGGAATAAAACTTCAAGTATTCAGATGGCTTTCAAACATAGTAGGCATTCAAGTTTATCTAGTGAATAAAATCTTTGCTGTATGCAGGGGAAATGTCTTTAAATGTTTTATTGTTTTTACAGTCAGAACATGGATATTACACAATCTAAATTTTCTGACAAACTGCACTCATTATAAGGCAGCATTTTGAAATAATTTACCAAAAAGCTATTTTACATGGTATATATGCCACAAGAAAAGTGTCAGGTGAAAAACATCTCTACATGCAAACAGAATACAAAATGGGAAATTATGTATTTCTGATGACAGAACCAAAAATAATGGTTTATGATATTAGATACATAATGCGACTGATATGTGCCCTATAAAAACACAAAAGCTATTTATTATAAGGTAGGAAGAGTAATTTTGCTTGGACTCATGCATAGAAAAGTACTGATAACATATAATAATGGTAATATTACACAAGTATTAAATTACATAAAAATCTACAAAAGGATATCTATAGCATCAGGGGCCTAAAAGGTACATTAGCAAAAATAAAGATATCCCATTCAATTCTTAACCATAAAATATGTTGTCAGAGAATCTCCAGGACTGGATAAACATTAGAGAAATTTACTTTGAAGTAGAGATGAAAATATCAAAAGAGAAGTTTATACTTCTACTTCTGTAGTAATAATGCCAATAAAAGGGAAAAAAAACTTACCTGCCATTCAAACTCGCTATCTGACCAATCCCAGTAAGTGCTAATAGAAGAAGAGACATCACTGCAGACACTCCCCTCAGGAAATAAATCAAAAGAAGTGAAGTCCTGATCATCTAACAGGGAATAACAATCATCTTGATCTCCAACAGACACAGATGAAAACAGCTCCTCACTGCCTTCTGAGCTGGCAACGCTTGTTCCACAAGAAGTTAGGTTCCACCTTCAAAAACACAACACAAAAATCACAAGAACTACAAAATCCACACAATTTTAAGGCTTACTTTACAGGACATATTTGTAACATTTATAAAGAATGTGAGGGTTGTTTAGTATTTTTAAAAGAGCCCTTACCTTTTAAGAAAACATACCAAAATATTTATGAATGAAATATGTCTAGGATTTGCCTCAAAATAAGGAATGGGTTGGGAAGTAGATGGGGTACAGATGAGGCATGATGCCATAGGTGAATAAATATTGAAGTTGGGTGACAGGATTACACTTTTCTACTTTTGTAGCTGTCTGAAAATTTTTGTAGTACACTATTTTAAAAGAAAGAAGTATTTAAATTAGGACTAAAGTAAAATCTTCATCCATAAACAAAAACATATAGCATAGTGGCTATGAGTAAGCTCTGAAATCAGGCAGTTCAAATTCTTGCTCTGTCACTTCCCAGCTAATTGATTTCAAGCAAATAACAGCCTCTCCAAGTCTGTGTCCCAATGGAGCTATTGTGATGATCACATAAGAATGCATACAGAGCACTTGTAGCACACATAAAAAGTGCCCAATAAATGACAGCTATTATTATTGTTAAAGGAAGAGGGGTGCCATTGCAGGGCAGAAAAAGCACCAACAAGCATCTACACAGGTAGAGGTTCAAGAAGTGATTGTTATATTTAAGTAACGTTTCCATTTTAATGTTGTACAGGCTCATTGCAAAGATGTTGTAAAGAAAAGAATGAAGAATAAAATGATCAACAATTCCATTATCTAGCAGTAACTAATCTATAATATTTTGGTATTTTATTTTTACATGCATACATATTTTTTACAGAATCGGCAACCATTCTGTGTATATATATTTTAGTATACTGCTTTTTTCACTTAACATCAATATGCTAAACATTTTCTTAAGTTTACTACTTGAAAACTTTTACTACTTATATAATATTCCATTGACTGAATGCATAATTTATTTAACATTATTACTCCAATAATAGATACATAGTCTGTTTCTAATTTTTTAATATTAGAAATAATACTGAGATGAGCATTGTTTATAATTATTTATCAAAATGTATTTTCTCAGGATACAGTTGCTTGAAAGGTAGGTACTAAGTCAAAGAATATGAACATTTCTAAGGATCAATTTAGTAAACACCTTTCTGAAAGGCTGCATCAATTTACACTCCCCAAGGCAGTATATAAAAGTGCTCATTTCACCACAATCTTAACCGCACTAAAACTGCTAAAAATTTTTTTGACCTATCTTATAGGATAGAAATTGTTTTTTGAGATAGGGACTCACTTTTGTCACCCAGGCTGGAGTGCAGTGGCACAAACACAGTTCACTGCAGCCTTTAACTCCCGGGTTCAAGCAATTCTCCCATCTCAGCCTCCTAAGTAGCTGGGACCACAGGTGCAACATGCCTGTCTAATTTTTGATTTTTTTGTACAAATGGGGTTTCGCCATGTTGCCCAGGCTGGTCTCAAACCCCTGAGCTCAAGCCATCCGTCTGTGTCAGCCTCCCAGAGTGCTGGAATTACAGGCGTGAGCCACTGCACAGAAATATTTTTATATCAAGTTTTATTTATTTAATTACTAACAAGATCAAAATTTTAAATATTTATTAGCTATTTTGCTACGGTATTTTACTATGTGTTAATGTTTTCATTATTGATTTCGTAAGAGTTCTTTACCCATTAAGGATATTATTACTATTTGTTGCAGGTTTTTTTGGTGGGTTTTTTTTTTTTTTTGCTCCTAAAGTCTATCAATCTGTTTTCTTTTGTAAATTTCCACTAGTTTTATACTATTAATAAGACAACCTTCACTGGTTTGCCAGTAGCATAGGGAATTAATCCTTAAGATAATGATTTAGTATTTCAGTACTAACAAGCTCCGGAAATAATGACTTCCTGATGCAAAGTCTGTTATTTACCTATTGTTAGGTTGTGCCTCATCCTTCATTAAATTTACTTTTTCTTAAATTATGTACTTCATTTTTTTAACTTCCTCCATTTTATATGGCTAATCTCTAATTTAGAAGTTCTTGATTTACATACAAAATTTGGACAACTTGAAAAACTTTATGATACCTTTTTTTTTAATTGAAGGTAGAGCATTTTAAAACACTGAAACACACACAAACTATTATAGTTCAGTAAATAAAAAGATGTCAATAAATTTTTATAAATAGGCAAAAAACTAAAATTCATCTAAGAGTCCTAGAATACCTTGTAGTATTACTTAGTTCCATCACATGCTTGGTAGATGGACAGTATTCTCATTTTAGAAAAATTTTTAATTAACCAAATTATCCCAGACCTTGCAGTAAAAGTCATGAACAGGAATCATGTCCTGGTTTAAGACCAGTCTGGGTAACGAAGGGAGACAATGTCTCTACAAAAAAATTATAAAATGAGCTGAGCATGGTGTTATGTTTCTGTATGCCCAGCTACTCTCAGGACACCAAGGCAAGAGGATCCCTGGAGCCCAGGAGTCTGTGGTCACAGCAAGCTGATTCTGCCACTGTATTCCAACCTGAGTGACAGAGAGAGACCCTGTCTCAAAACAAAACAAAAATACGTTCTGGGGCCAGGCACGGTGGCTCACTCCTGTAATCCCAGCACTTTGGGAAGCCGAAGCAGGTGGATCACGAACGAGGACAAGAGATCGAGACCATCCTGGTCAACGTGGTGAAACCCCATCTCTATTAAAAAAAAAAATACAAAAAATTAGCTGGGCATGGTGGTGCGTGCCTGTGATCCCAGCTACTCAGGAGGCTGAGGCAGGAGAATTGCCTGAACCCAGGAGGCGGAGGTTGCGGTGAGCCGAGATCACGCCATTGCACTCCAGCCTGGGTAACAAGGGCGAAACTCCGTCTCAAAAAAAATAATAAAATAAATAAATAAAAAATACGTTCTGGACACAGTAAACCCTATCCACATTGTATTCTGAGCAAACTATTCTTCTCTTGTGTCTTCAAATTACATGTGACTTGTTTTCCCTTTATTCACTCACTCATTCAACATTTAGTCAGTATCTTCTATGTACCAAATACTAGGTTCAGTGCTAGGAAAAACTGTTAGATACTTGTTTTAAATTAGAATTTTTCAGCTTATAAAAATTCTGTAAAAATGTGTTTCTCTCCATGACTGATAATGGCATTCCTTAAAAAAAAAATGCCATATTTAGTAATTTAACCATTAGATCACTGCCCAAGGAGTCAGGAATTTGCTTCATTTTGTGTTCTTATCATGGGTTAAAGTCACTGTATTCCTCAGTTTTCCAGATGTGTAATCATAACAAGATTCTGAATGTTCTTAGAAGTCTTTGTCTTTTGTTTTTAATTATCAGTGGCAAGTAAACTGGGCTCATAGTTGAAACAAATCATGTATAAAATAGAATAATAGTGTTTTTTAGTAGCAAAGATGGTAACTTCTTTATAGCTTCATTTCCTTTTTTTTTTTGAGATACAGTCTTGCTCTGTTTCCCAGGCTGGAATGCAGTGTGATCTCGGCTCACTGCAACCTTTGCTTCCTGGGTTCAAGCAATTCTCTAACTCTGCCTCTCAAGTATCTGGGATTACAGGTATGCACAACCACACCTGGCTAATTTTTTTTTTTTTTGTATTTTTAGTAGTAGAGACGGGGTTTCACCATCTTGGCCAGGTTGGTCTTCAACTCCTGACCTCATGATCCACCTACCTTGGCCTGCCTAAATGCTGGGATTATAGGTTTGAGCCATGGCACCTGGCCTTTTTCTTTTTTTGAGTCAGGGTCTCGCTCTGTTAACCAAGCTGGAGTGCAACGGCATGATCATGGCCCACTGCAGCCTCGACCTCCTGGGTTTGACTCATCTTCTCACCTTGGCCTCCGAGCAGCTGGGACTATAAGCACATACCATCAGCCTGGCTAATTTTTGCAATTTTTTTGTAGAGAAAGGATTTCATCATGTTGTCTGGGCTGGTTTCAAATGCCTGGGCTCAAGCAATCCTCCCACCTTGACCTCCCAAAGCACTGGGATTACCAGCGTGAAACACTGTGCCTGGGAAAATGTTTGTATCTTCTAAGTTGCAAATTTTTTAAATTATAATTTTAAGGCAATATAGATTTTAAAAAATAGGAAGTACTTTCATCTGTTGCTAGTGACATTGTAAGTTGATGTAATCTTTCTTAAAAGCAGTATGGCAATATTACATACATCTAGAGTTTTAAAAAGTTCATTCCTTTGGAATCAGTAATTTCCCTTCTAGGATTGTGTTCCCTTCCCCAAACAGAAATTTGGAAAAAAGATGTGTGTACAAATATGTCCCGACAATATTAGTAACACCCCAAAAGGGAAAACAAATGCCCTTAAAATATGGTGAATTAAATGATATATCTGAATGGCATTTTTATAATCACTAATAATCATATTTTCAGACTATTTATTCTAAAGGAAAACACCCAACAATTTAAGTGCAAATATGCAGATCACAAATTGTATATACAGTCTGATCTTGATTTTTAAAAATTATGTATGTACATAGAAACATTAAAAGAAACATCATTAAAATGTTGACAGTTGTTACGTTTGGGGAAAAGGATCATGAGTGGTCTTCATATTTGTTAGATGCCCTCAGTTTTCTATAATAAGTCTTTAAATAAAAATTTAAGTGGGATTCTTTTAGACTGTTTTGTCAGTTTCAAACTTGTAATGAATGTCTATTGTGTGCTCATCACCAAAGTATTCAAAATTACAAGCTCTTACATTTTATTCCACTAAGAGAAAGCTACCTAACACTTAGATTCCAGCTATAATCATAGTATTACTCTCAAAGGAGACTTTCTCCAAAATCTTGAAAGATGTTGAAAAGAATTCCAGTGAAAGGATGTTTGACTCAATAACTAGGCTTGCTGCCCTAATTTTAATTAAAAAAATAAAGCCAAGAACATTTCTCTGCAAGATATTTTAGCAAGAATATACAGACTAAGGACTTTCAATGGTATTTTGGTAAATAGACATTTAAATGTTAAAATTAAGAAAAGCAGCCAGACGCAGTGGCTCATGCCTGTAATCTTAGCACTTTGGAAGGCTGAGGTGGGTAGATCACGAGGTCAAGAGATTGAGACCATCCTGGCCAACATGGTAAAACCTTATCTCTACTAAAAACACAAAAATTAGCTGGGCGTGGTGGTGCGCACCTGTAGTCCCAGCTACTCGGGAAGCTGAGGCAGGAGAATCACTTGAACCCGGGAGATAGAGGTTGCAGTGAACTGAGATTGCACCACTGCACTCCAGCCTGGTGACAGAGCGAGACTCTGTCTCAAAAAAAAAAAAAAAAAATTAAGAAAAGCACGTGCACCATGTACACATTCCTCTGCTGCCCGTTTTTCTCAGGTATAGCTGACCGCCACCTCTGAGGATGAGAATCCAGCCAATGAGCACTGTTGAATAAAGTCCTAACTGTCAAGCTGATGAAGGTCATTTGAAGTCTATGCTACATATTCATTCTTAGGGGATAGTCCCCCATCAGTACTTGCAATCACCACTGACTGCCAGAATCCCCATAGAGCTAACCTGACCTCTGCTGCTATTCTGGAGTCCAACAGGCCACCAAGGTTCCCAGTTAGAGAAGATACAACCCCTACTTCTACCAACTTAAGTTCCTTACTTTCCTCCTACCTACCTCAATTGTGTTGGGTTCATTACTCATCTTTTCTACCCTCTTTATTGCCTTAGAAGTAAAAAACACTGTGTCTTTTCTAAGGCTAATTATCCCATTTGGACTTCTGAGTTCATCATCTCTATCTCTCATCCCACCTTCTTTTATATTTTCAATTTATTTCTTGTGGCCTGCTTCTAAGAAGCTAACATCTCCATTCTCGGAAATGAAAAACTAAAGAAAAACATCAAAAAACCTTTACTTCCCTTTCAAATTCTCACAACATCTCCTCCTTCTTTCCCTGCTCAATTTATTGAAAAGCTTCCACTTTCTCAACCTTTGTAACCTGTAGTTCCTGTAGTTTCACTTCTATCATGTCACAGATTTCTACTGATTACTCCCAAATCTGTATTTCTAGTCTGGATATTTTTCCAAATCCTAACCCCCATTCTCAACTTGTCTCAGCAAATCCCCAAACCAAATTCCTCCAACATGGTTCTCCCACCTGCAACCCACAGCTCTTCTGCACCTCTAATTCCATCTCTAGACAGGAAAACTATGGGTGGTACCAAAGGCACACAATAGTCTTCAGGTTTTTCTGGTTAAAGGTGATTGAAAATGGAGCTCTAAAATCATATGAGTAACTGATTTATGTAATAGCTCAGAAGTGCTAAGAGAAAACCCCCATTTACATCAGAAAATCCCTGTCTTTCAAACTAAAGAAAATGTCTTAAACACTACATATGTTCCACACTGACATTTCACATTTTTAAAAAATTCATTCACTTTTTTGGCTTACTGAAATTTGTTCTATTTTCCTAAAATTCTAGACCAATCCAGGAAGGTCTTAAGATTCTAAAAGACACTCTTCGGAAAGTATGAATTCTTAGGAAACTGGCTGTATCCATGTGATGTATTTTCTATTGAACCTAGACCAGTGACATACCCACCTGTCACAAATGACTTTAATTTGATTATTGGGCCGGGCATGGTGGCTCACACCTGTAATCCCAGCACTTTGGGAAGCTGAGGTGGGTGGCCCACCTGAGGTCAGAAGTTCAAGACCAGCCTGGTCAACATGGTGAAAACCTGTCTCCTCTAAAAATATAAAAATTAACCAGGCACAGTGGTATGCACCTGTAGTCCCAGCTACTCAGGAGGCTGAGGCAGGAGAATTGCTTGAACCCAGAAGGCAGAGGTTGCCCTAAGCTGAGATTGTGCAACGGCACTCCAGCCTGGGTGATGGAGGGAGACTCCGCCTTAAGAAAAAAAAATCTGAATACTGCATGCATTCAACCTCAGGGACTGTTAGTGCTGTGAGTGACTGTCTTGGTTAATGAAAATTGCAAATATAGCCCAGAATCCAGTAAATGAGTAGGCACAAAACTGTCATAATCATAAGGTCCTTATCAAGGGCATTAGTTTTAAAATCTCCACATTTTTCTTATCAGGTAACAAGAAGGAAGCAAAAGGTTAAGTCAAATATCTACCCATTAACAAGCTTTCTACTTTCAATGAAATTTGTTTTACAATGACTAGATCGAAGTCAGAATTTCAGCACTCTTCTTTATTTGAAATCTAATTTTGGGGTTGTCTGAATCGGCAAATGATGTGGAAAAAAGTGACACATACAACTCCAAAATAAAAGAACTCCCTAAACTATACTTTGCCTAATATATGATTTAGCTGTGTGCTTCTCCCTGAAGAGAAATGGCTGGAAGCCTATGGTCCTCTCAAGCACCATCTTGAGGAGGGGTAAGAAGACAGAACATTCCAGAAGGACAACAGATTTAAAAGGCAAGGTAGCCTACGGCAGAAACATCATCTGCTGTGAATATTGCTAATTTTGCTTCCCATACTATCTGCTGAAAAGGATACAGAGCATTAGAACCTCTGCCACCACGCCAAGCCTTGTGAAAAGAAGGGTAGGAGAGGGAAGTTAAAAAAAAAAAAGCAGGCAGTTAACTAGGAAAAATGTTTGACTTGGAAAATCTGGGGCTTGTGAAAAACCTCCTACTCCCCTCCTCACTGACCCACTGAAAAACAGCCTTGACCTCACCACAGTCTTTAAGGGGAAGAAAACACAGGGAAAAAATAGGGAGGAGGAGGAGAACAACAGAACAAGTGGTAAGAAACATACTATTCTCATCACTTCCCTCCCCATCACCTCCACCCAGTTTTGGCAGTCCTTACCCTCAGCCTCTACCCTCACTCCCTTGCCCTCATCATCACAGTAGGATCATTCTGAAGTCATTTAACTTTCCTGGGTATGTGACTTGCTCCATGGCTGAAAAACTTAAATGCCAAATATGTACAAAGGTATTCTTTTATATTATTTTCCAACATAAATAACCCTAAGCACACTTGATTTCATGAATACATTACATTCACATTACAGTGGCATTAGGGGTTAAATAGGCTTCTGTGAGTTAGTCTAAGAAACCATAAGTTCTATTTGTAACGCTGGATTCATTAGTTCTGGTCCAAGTTTAATCACTAACTTCAAAGGAATAGTCTTGGATTTGCTTGACTAGGTTTTATGACCTTGAACTCAATCTTTTCTTTCTGGGCCTGCTTCTTCATTTTTTGCAAAGATGATTTAGAGTAGCCATAAATTTACTGCCACTTCCTTTTGAGATGTGTTATACTGATATTCTGTCTCTTTAACATAATACCTTGTTCCAATAGACCGTAATTTTCATTTATGTAAGAATCATCTTATACATTCCTTGTACCTGGTAGAAGCTCATTCAATCTATAGAGCGATTTAAGGCAAGGGAGGGGAAAAATATGCTGAAGACATTAAGATATAGAAGAATTTGATCAAACTCACATCATAAACTTGGATCAGAAATCAGAAGTAGATTTCTTATCTCTAGTATTTTCCATAGCTGAACTCCTCTCCCAGTGCCTTATCAACACAACCTCCCAGCCCTTTGTATACATATCTCAAATATCCACCTATATTAAAAGTTGAGGCTATATCTAGAACGTCTTCAAACCCCCCACAACATTTGATCTAACACGTAAATGCACGCATGAGAGAAGTCTCCAGAACACTACCTTCTACTGAAATCAGTCAGGAGATACACTCTCTGAATAAATTTGTGTAAGGCAGTCCAGCCTAAGCCTCTCTCCCTTCAAAGGGGAAGCAAATTAAAGGATACGTCATATGAAGGAATCTTCCAGATTTAAGCTTATCCATTTTGGCAGAGCCTAAAGCGCTAAGGCAAACAGTTAATAAAGGAGAAAAAAAAAAAAAAGAGAGAGAATCCACTAGTTTCCTAGCGCTCAACTAAAAAAATGGGGTAGGGGTGGTGGAGGAGGGGAGGGGGAGAAAAGACGAGACAGGTTAAACATTGGGAAAATAAAGCTTCTAGCTTTAAACGTGCCACCTTTCAACTCCACTTTTCAAAAGATCTATGGATTTATTTGGGGCCATCCAAATTCCTCTACAGCGTACCGGAAATGGAAGGGGTTAAACTTTTGCAGATGGATGGAAACCGGGGCGTATTTAACAATCAAGGGTGGGGGCTTGGAGTTCGTAGGATACAGGTGGGGGAAGGGAAGTGAGGGAGGAAGAAGGTAGGGAAGGGAGGAGTCGCTATGGCCAGAAGATGAATGAGGAAAAGAGAGTGAAACACCGGTCAAAAGAAAAATCAGAGGTCAGGGGAGAAAATACGGATGGGGGACAGGGAAGGAGCCCGGGAATGAGCGCTGGTCAAAGGCAGGTGGGGGAGGGGGAGACTGGAAGCGCAGCCCGCGAAGAAGGACCAGGAGCCGGGGGGCGACCAGCGGTGGAAAATCCACCCCTGCCCTCAGCTGCGGTTCGTACCTGTTGGTGTGGAAGCGGTGGAGCGGGTCGGTGCGATGGCAGGAGGACAGCTGGCAGCCGAAGTCGCTGATATCCAGGCAGCCTGGCTCCTCGCTCGGGCAGGTGCCCACCCCGCGAGGGGGTCCCAGGAGCGGGAAGGGTTCCTCGGGGGTTAGAAACTTCTCGTAGGAAGTGATGGCCGAGGCTTCGTCGGACATGGTTGGAGATAGCCTGGCTTGGGCTCCCTCTCTGGCCCTGGGCTGCTCCCGCGCCCGCCCCTGCCCCCACTCTAACCTGTCCGCAGTCGCCGCCGCTCCGGGGTGTGCCCGCGGCAGCTCACTGGCAGGCTGGGCGACGCGGCCCGCTGCTGCTTGGGTGGTGCGGGGCCGCGCGAAGAGTCTGCTCGAGGCCACAGCGGCCCTCCGGCCACCCAGTTAGCGCCTCGGTGGCCTCTGCAGCCTCAGCCTCAGCCGCCGCCGCCGCCGCCGCCGCCGCCCGACTCAACCCGTCAGCGCAGCGCCGCCGCCCGTCCCGGCCAGGCGTGCCCCGCCCACTGCGCTCGCACCTCGCGACTGCAGCAGTCCGCCCGGCGCCGGCCAGGAGAAGGGCAGCGAGAAGCCGCTCCCTTGCCCCCTACTGGACTGGAGGAGGAACTGAACCTCCGCCCGCCGCAGCCCAAAGCGGCTCGCCCCGCCCTCTATGCCTCGAATCAGGGATTCAGGCCGCTGGAAGGGCTCGGCGTCTCTGGCCAACCTCCTCCTCCGCTTTCTCTATCGCACTTGATAACTAAGAAGGAACCGCAGACCCAGAAAAGGGACTTGGCCAGGGTCACACTGCGGGTGCGTGAGAAAGTATCCAGATGCCCTGGTTCCCAGCGCACTCGATCACCCTGTACAAATTCAACAAGTATTTATTGAGCTCCAGCAGTGTGTGTGCCCAGAACCGTGCAATGAGTTGTAGGAGAAATCGTCCAAGTAGGAAAAAATAGTCCCTGCCTCACCCTTGATCACCTAACAACAAAAACCCTGCGCTGTGGCCACTCGCCTACTCAGAGCTGCTGGACACGTAGTACTCTTTTGTGCTCTGCGCCTTTTGCTCGTATTAGGCACTCTGCTTAGAATGCCCTGCCATTTCTCCCCTGCTAATCCTTCAAACTCCAGCTCAAACGTTATCTCCTCTGTGAAGCCTTCCCTGACTCCCCAAGGAGACTTAGGCACTCCTGCTAATATGCCCCCTCTCTCCGGTAGAAAATATATTATGGAGCTTAACTTGTTCAACTTAAATCAACTTGTTAGGTGTCATATACTGTTCTTTCCTGTTTATCTCATCTCTCTTCTCTGTATTCTGGACAAGTGGTTCCTGTTCTTGGATGCATAAAATTAAAAAATATATATTCAGAGGAAAACCCAAGATTGCTAATTTGTTGCTTTGCCCGAAGAAGTCAATGTTTAAAACTACCTAATACTAATTTATAAAAGGAAACACATTTTCATGTGAGCATAATTTTTCCATAAAAGTAATTATTTGCATTAACTATATTTACCTTTATTGAAAAACTAATTACATTCATCCTTCAGGAAAGCAGAGAACCAAGATAGGTGGAAATGAGAGGAAAGGTGAAAGAAGGAAGGAGGAAAAAGAGAAAGAGAGCAGGAGAAGTGGGGGACTGTCACTGAAACAAGCCCATTCAGTGTTAAACTCTGTGCCATGGCCTACCAATGCACCTTACAGTGAAAACAGCTCCTTAACCGTGCCTTTAAAATGTATTCATTATCTTGCTTCAGTTACTTGGTTGTTTGACTGTTGCTCATGCCTGCTTTCTTTCCTTGGCATTGCAAGAAGGTATGTTGCATTGTGTACTTTCAAAATGAATCATTCATTAATATACAATGGGGCTGACCAATTTAAAAATTGTGGAAGTGAGGCTGATGATGGTTTGGCCTATGGTCCCTAATTCATCAATCCCCAGGGGTCTGAGGCCAGTGAGGCTGAATGAGCCATGGCTTAGTCCCCACAAACAGGAGACTTGATTATCCAAAAGAAACAGGAGTCAAATGCTGCATGATAATGCAGGTACTCAGGTAATAGCACCAGGAACTGTTAATAGAAAGGTAACAAAATAGTCTAATTTATTTATTTTGAGACGGAGTCTTGCTCTGTCACCCAGGCTGGAGTGCAACGGGGCGATTTTGGCTAATTGCAACCTCCACCTCCTGGGTTCAAGCCATTCTTCTGCCTCAGCCTCCCGAGTAACTGGGATTACAGACATGTGTCATGATGTCTGGCTAATTTTTGTATTTTTAGTAGAAACGGGGTTTTGCTATGTGGGCCAGGCTGGACTTGAGCTCCTAACCTCAAGTGATCCACCTGCCTCAGCCTCACAAAGTGCTAGGATTACAGGTGTGAGCCACCACACCTGGCAGTGTAATTTAAATATATATGCTTTTTACACATACTATAAAAGGTGAGTGTTTTTTAAACTGCAGTCTAATGATAGAGTCTGTGAGGTTTCTACAAGTATGTGTTTTACTTTTGTGTTTAATTTTAAGCATATTCTGAAGTATCTGTATGACCACATGATAACTAACTGGTGCCACATAATTAAGACACGTTTTTGAGTTTATTTTCACAATGAATTAACACAAGGTAATACTACTTTAATTGTCACAATCTAGTAAAAAGACAAATGAGGTGAACTTCATACTTGGCATCTTCCTATACAAATGAAGGGTTGCAGTAATCTAAAAAGAAGAAAGTGATGGGAAAGTGGAGTCAACCCCAAGACATACTTACAAGCATGCTGAAGGCCAAGAGCATATGCTTGCCAGTCAGCAGCATGTTCACGTTTCTAGGGCAGTTTTGTTTCATTATATATACCACATAACATTGACTTTGTAAAAAAGTTTGTGCACAATTTGTAAATTTGTTTGGTGTAAAGTTTGTACAAGAGCTTTACGAACATGCAGAGTTTATATTTCGTTTTATGTTTGTTTACATTTAAGAAATAGTATAAAAAGAATTTACACAAATGCTTGGGTCTGAGAGAATTAAAAAAAAAAAAAAAAGAAGAAGTCCCAAGCCAGGCGCAGTGGCTCATGCCTGTAATCGCAGCACTCTGGGAGGCCGAGGCAGGTGGATTGCCTGAGGTCAGGAGTTCGAGACCAGCCTGGCCAACATGGTGAAACTCCGTCTCTACTAAAAATACAAAAATTAGCTGGGTATGGTGGAACATGCCTGTAGTCCCAGCCACTTGGGAAGCCGAGGCAGGAGAATTGCTTGAACCTGGGAGGTGGAGGCAGTGAGTCTGGGCCACAGAGTGAGACTCTGTCTCAAAAAAAAAGAGGTCCCTCCATATATTTCTCAGTAAGAAATACTGACATAGATATGGATACATAGATACTCTTGATACATAGAGTTTGTGCACTGTATATATAATGTTTACTTAAATATGTGGTAATAACGGACTAATACATCTTAACCAAGTTCTTAATCATTAGAGTTCATGACTGTTGGGCATCCTGCCTACTTGTCTCACCTTGATTTGCTTGGTTTGTCCCTTGGGTGTAGTTCACCTCAATGGATTTACCCAATTCATCTCTCCCTTCCATTCTGCAAGATCCTTTCTACTTTCTGTTTCTCTGAAAATGTGGGTGGATATGGCAGTTCCTTATTTTCTCTGAAGATCTGAGCATGAGAGCAAAACCTGGGGCAATCTGCCTTGAAAATTTCAGATGTATAATTTACCTAACAGAGAGCTGATGGCTGCAGGAGAGACTGAGTAGTATTGAGATTTGTCAACTAACTTTTATCATTTTGTTTACCACTGGATAGAAATATACTGCACTTGACCCCATAATTGGTGGTCTAACCCTTATATTTTTTTCATGTGATTAATGAGCTTAAGGTGTGTGTGTGTGTGTGTCTGTGTGTGTGTATTTAGCTAAGTCAAGTATCACCAACAAAACCTGCTGATAAAACAAAGCTTGAGGTTCTTACTTATTTTGGCAAGGAAAACCTCCACTTACACAAAGCTTTGGCAATGTTTCAGAGGGTAATTTCTGGCTAGAATTTATTAAGAACTGGAAGTTTGATTTAAGGTGGATATTTCAATGTGGGGTCTTGATTAAGATTGGGTAAGAATTATTTTACAATAATCCAGGATTGGTGGAAGCAGCAAGGTGAGGATTTTGAGGGGAGGAATTCAGAGAATTGTAGGGTGTAAACTGTTGATGCTTTCCATTGAAGAGGTGGTAGGTCTTTCAGGACGTACTGTGAAGGATGTAGGAATTAGATCCATTCTTTTTGTATGTGGATGTCCAGATGTTCCTACATCATTTATTGAAGATTATCTTTCCTCCATTGTATTGCCCTTGCTCCTTTGTCAAAGATCAGTGCACATTTAAGGAAAGGATGAGCTTGGCTTGGGAGAAAGATTATTGAGGGCTTTACAGTGAGTGACATTTGGCCTGGGCTTTTAGAAGAGTAGGCCAACAAAAGATGGGCATTTTAGATAAAACATTGTGACACTGAAATTATGGATTGTTCCTATGGTGAAACTGGTGAATTTCAAAGATAGATGATGGACTTAGAAAATACTTTTGATTATAAATGGTGTGATATTAATCATATACATCATAGAAACCATTGCGAACAAATGTGAACCAGAAAAAGCCAATCATTCAAGATGGATCTTGAAATGCTAATGGCCTAAATTTGAGAAAAAGAGCCAAACAGCCATTTGCTGACTAGAGGTCATACACCTACCTACTCTGAGCTCCTAAAAACACTTCACCTTTTTAACTCTGGGACTCTTAGAACTCAGCTGTATCAACCAATCAGAGCTCAGCCATATCAACTAATTGGGGGCTCAGCTGCTTCCACCAATTAGAACTGAGCAAGTTTGTATCCTTCATTTGCATAAATGGCAGTTTGTATCCTTCATTTGCATAAATGGATGTAATTGGGAACCTGGGTGTGAACTTTTGCAATAAAACCCAAACCCTCTTTTTGTTCTCTGGAACACACCTTCATTTTAAACCTGTTTGCAAACTGTTCAATGAAATAAAGTCTCTTTCCTCCAAATTCCTTTTCAAAGAACTTTTGTTCACACCCTTAAGGGTTGATGACAAAAAAAATTTTTGAGAAATATCAACCGAGGAAACTATCAAAACATTTTTATATTTGTCCTTGTATAATTTTCTTTTTCTTTTAAAAAGAACATAAGATACATTCCCCTGTAAAATTCTATTCAGTATAATGTTTAAGTACTTTAAAAGTTTTAATGAATGGGGTAACTCACCATTCTTCAATTGCTCTTACCAAACCCTTTTTTAACCATTGTTACAGATAAAGTCATATCTCCTCTTTGATGTACACGTGTGTTAAGCAAGTAGGTATATTCTTTCATATGCATGAAAATCTTGTACACAACTAAACACTCCATGAGACTTATAAATATTGTAATTTATTTGATTAATGTAGAAAGGGCTTTTCAGAAACAACCAACATTTTTCAGATCAGTATGAATTTTTAAGTTTAATGATGTGTTCTTATGAAAATGTTTGTTTTTGTTACCAAATCAAAAGTAACCACTTAAAAGACCCTCCACAATCTGATTTTTTGTAGAGAGGAAG